GCGTCGGGCGTTGTGCAAGAGTGACATACCAGGTGGCGCGATCTGGGCATCCATAATCACATCGGGATGCCATTTCTCGGTTACCACGCTGAGGTCTCAATACATTGAGTTTTGGCGAGATCGAAGCTCTGCCAATTTACTGAGAAGGCCTTGCGCGTTCGTGTACGTACAATTTAGAGCACCGGATGATAGGAGCGTACATGAACACACAAGCGTTTCCCGTAAATTTACGCCGACCCTTCCGGGGTCGGATGACAATCGCTTGTTGGATGTATCTCCTGTGCACCCTCAAGGGCCTTTTCGATCTGTTACATAGGGCACCCACTACCTAATCCTTCGGAAGTGAATTAGGGCGGCTTCTTGGTTCCTTCCTCTTTGGACGACTGGGGAGTTGCACCACGCTCTGGCTCAGAAATGCAGACAGCGGTGCTAGCGACAACTTCTCGCTGGTTTCGTGTTCCCTCAGCCAATGATGGCTTGGCTTTGACCGCCTTTAGACGTATTTCTGTTGGTAATTTGGTTCGGGACCTATGCCGACTTCCGAGCACTCCTTCAACCGTTTGTTTGGGGTAAAACAGGACTTTCAGCACCTATGGACCACTTCCTTTGTACTTTGGTGATGTGGGCAACCTTGACGTTGAATTAGCAATCACATGGTGGAGAGAGTGGGCTTCGCGGACATAGCGCCAATCTTCCAAGTCATCAGCTTGAATCTGCGACTCTTCGAATGACTGGGTTTCGGGGACAACATGGACAATGATGGATCTTTCGTCGGTTTGCCTGCGGTGTTTACCTGGATTTTTCTTTCTTTGGCGACGCTCATTCCGAGGGATGTCATCACCGTCATCAACAGCAGTACATCAGCCATTTGAACTGATGCTTCGCTGCCATATAACCATGAGGACCTATGAAATAAAGAATAATAAGATGCAGAGAAAGGGGACTTACCTGAAAACCTTAATGCCCTAAGCAAACATTCAGGATAAAGGCGCCTACACCTTGTGTTAACAGCATATCGTCACAAACGGCGGGCTATCGTGCAAAGATAAGGCGGCATCGGCGAGACAGCTTCCTTGCGGCTTTCACTGCCACGCGTCATAATCAGCCATTACCCCGTAGATAACTCAGCACCAAACACACTTTAAACAGGCAATCCGATTAGGAGACGGCAGCAGACGCGCCACTGGTGTCCGTTGCGAGCCATGTTCCGTAAAGTCTCGAGCCAAGCACAAGGCGAGTCACGTGGACTCCAGCCCGGAAGGCGAGACGGACTAATGGCACCCAGTTTGGTCGTCAATAACTTCATTTCCCGCTGCCAAGTCAACTTCCGTCCACCTCGGGCCTTGCGCACTCTACACCTGGTAGACTGAACAAGGCCCTCCTAGGTAAGCGATGACCAGACATACGTAGCACATGTCCGAGCCAAAGCAACTTACTCTGTGGTATCTGTTGTTCTAGGGAGCTAGCATGATTACCACTACCTAGTACTCGCCTACGCACATAATCGTTGCGGATACGCTTGTGCCATCCGACATCATCAGAGCAACGATGATCAAAGACTTGAACGCGCTTCAGATCTTCAGACCGATGTCAGGAAATACACGAAAGCCGCATGAAGAATAACGAAGCGGTGAGCAGACAATAGAGCGGTCTCCGTTTCCGCAACAGACTGTACTATAACCTGAAGTAGCCTCGGCTCACCATAATGAACTGCGTTTCAGTGGCAGACGATACGACACAAGCTAGTCTTTTTGGCCTGGATTCCAGTTGTTTGGTATATGGATCCAAGTGTTTCAGGCCACCCTGTATTTTGTCTTTTATTGAGTTTGCCTTTGACTCAGGCACGTTGGAGCATATTATCTGCCTCGATTTCTGCGTCATCCTAGTGTTCGTACTTTTGGATAAGGGAGTGCATCCTTCTACTGGCGGCGTGGTGGGCGGTTATTTTGGGGGCGCATTGGTATTTGTGTGGCTTCTAACAGTTTTTGAAATGCCCGCAGACATGCCGGCCAACTTTGCTTTAGGTCTACATTTATCGACCATAGATGCATATGCTGTGGGACTTTCGGTATTGTTAGGTAAACCAGGATGCAATGGAGCATCAAATGACAGAAACACCACCCGGAAAGACCGATCTCTGCAACGTTGGAGTCGCCTGGATTGACGCTCCTTCTTGCCCGCCTGTTTGCAAGTTACTGTGTCTGGAGTTGCTGGAAGTAGGCTCTTTACTCTACGATGGTTTTGGCTATTTCGTTCCAAGTTTGAGTATACGTTTAGGCAACGGGAGTCGAGGGCGGCTGCAGCTAGTTCCGATGCGAGCGCTATATCAGCCGTTACATGCTGAACAAACGTTGTTAGTTTGTCACATTCCTGTGCCAGCACAGCAATGCACCTCACGAGTGAGTTTACCATACACTCAGTAAAAAACCAAATGGAGTTTGGTGTGCAAGATCGTCCTTTTATTTTCGCTGAATCTACGCATCGGGGATGAAAGTTCTTTTCGCCATTACTATGAGTTATTGCAAGTCAAATTGTATTGGCGCACGATTACAGAGGACAAATAACTTTTGTTTGCTGTTGAGTGGACCGTACATAAATTTTTTCCTTGTTGCTGTGTTGCGAACCATTGCGAGGCTTCAGACACGTCGGTAAGTTACGAACGGCGAGCGTGTTCGGACAAGCGCACGATGTCGGTTGAGAATGGCTGTGACTTTTGTAAACAAAGCCGGCTGGAAGGCAATGCACGTGCGTTGGGCGCTGTGCTATCGAATGGGCCGGGTTGGAGGTGGTGGAAGCTTGCTTTTTGACGGTGCAGTAGAAGTCACGCTAGTTTGGTGAGTGTTAGGAAGCTGGCTACTAAACGAGCTGCACCTATCAAGCAATGTCGGATGCTTGTGGCAATCAAATCCTTGGGTAGCGCTGAGAGTACTCTGTCCTATGATGGTACAAATGATGGGATGCACTCAGAAAGAAGGTTCAGGCACGCCTGGAGTTCAGTGAAAATGCTGCTGAAATCGCAGTATCGGATGAAACGATGCTGTCTGCTAAATAATACTGCTGTGGTAGATCCACTGGATAGAGCAGATTAATCCTAGTTGGGTTAGTGTAAGCAGACTAATGTACTTCAAGAACGGCGAGTGCAAACTCCAAAACTTGAGGGGCGTCGTTTCAACACAAGAGTTAACGCAGCGTGGTTTTGTCTGGCGAGTGTCGGTTTTAGAGTTGCTGCTGATAATCTGGGTGGTTTAGAAAGTGTCACGGGAGTTGACGGTGTTAGTTGTGTCGCACCGCGTGCGCTCGGTACAGAAGATGGACCGTGTCTCGCCTCCGGTGTGTTTACCAAGGCGATCTTTGCATAAGTTAGGCGTTTTTCTGTGCATCGGATTGCCTTTGGCTGTGAACTGTCGGTGTCATATCTGAATCTCTAGGGGAAGCATGCATAACTAGGGCAGTAACAATCAAGGCGAACGTGATTTTACTGATTAAGGGTTAAGATGTGTCATAGTAAGTGGCACAGATACTCGGCGGGGGTTTGAAAGACTGAATACACTTTGGTCTAGGGACGTGGCTCAGATGGGGTTGCTGGAGAAGTGTCGTTTTGCTTATGTTCCAAAAGCGAAGCACAGAAAGTCACCATCTGGTTAATTGTTTCGGTTAATTTTTTGCGTTTTTACATAAGCACAACTACACAATTGATGATTGGAGTAGCTTTGCATACCCGACAAAACCAGAGCGCATCGGTCACCTCTTTGAGCCTCTTTAATTCTACCCAATTTATGCCACTGCACTTAGCGTGGAATGCGAAGCCACATCTTGAGAATTTCAGACCAGTCCTTACCGCGTGGTTGCAATTCGCTTCTCCGCAATTGCCGCTAAGTGTGACAATTTTCAGTGCTCTTGCTGCTGCTACAGTCAGTAATAGAAACAACAGCTTCGACGGATGGTGCATTTCTAGCAGTTAATCATATGCGGTGGATTGTAACATATCGTGTAATGATAGTTGCCGTGTATGCGATTACTCACTTCCGGTTTCTTGAACAGTTTCAAGCCGAGTCAGTCAAACGCCTCTACCGCACTACCACGACTAGAATGATGTCTCTCATTATATCCAGAGTCACTCGTTCGCTTACTACACTGACCTTACAGTGTAAAACGCAGAGCAGTTACTACATGGAACTGAAACTGCTTTTACACCGGATAACAAAAATATGAGCATGTAATGTAAATTGCTGTAAATACAATACTCAGGATGTGTTGCACTTAAGTTTATACAGCATGAGTGCATCAGACAGCACTGAAGACCTCTGGCAAAAGAACCAGATAGAGCTAGGATTGTGCTGTGACTCAGGGAAATTTAACGAAATTGTAGCATGAAAGTTTTATGGGAACTGTCGTACCTACAACTGCAAATTTGGGGTGAAACTGATCGTTTCATTTCGGCCAACACAACATAAACTGTTTGAATAAGAACTATTAAACCGCCAGAAGGTATTGAGGAGAGTGATAGTGAACGGCAAGTACCAATAATTAAATTGCTTTGAGGTTCTCGCTTGAGACGTCACCAATCTCAAGCTCAACCGGACGAACGGATCTGCATCTTGTAGTACCCATCTGTAAAATTATACTTCCAAATAGCCCGTTTCATTGCCTAGTGATTCATGTACTAACTTGCCGGTTTACATACGTATCCACTAGTTTGCCTCTATTCCTCATTATTCCTTCCTGCCAAAAGGCTTAATTAACTGTTTAGTTAAATTTTAAATGTTTATTCACGTACTATTTTGTTAAACTTGCAACGGTCTAGCTCGTGAAATCAGGAAATCTATGCTTTATTTAGTTGCTTATTGGTCTTGTTTTAGTGCACTAAGTAAAGATATTTGACTAATCTATCTGCTTATATTTCAGCAAGCAGTAAGTGTGATTATAGTAATAATCTATGCAGGGTTGGACAACACACATCCCCAGTTATGTCAGCGTACTCGGTTCCCTTGTTTTCACAGCTGGTGTTTCGAAAAATATCCGATGTTAAACGTGAAAAGGAATTGAGAGAAAGTGATCAGACGCAACATCTGACTCCTGACCATCCAGTCCGTCGATTGATATCTCGTTTCTACAAAACAGCATCACCCAACGCTTCTAAACGACCGAGCGTCTCGGGCTCTCCTTTTTCTACTGCCAACCATGACAAGTTGAGGGAATCAGGTGCAACTCTCAAAGAGGACGAGGTGAGATATTTGGATTGACTGGTGAAGGAACTACCTGAATTACCGAATGTCTGCCGGTGTTCGATCCCTAAACTAATGATTTGTTAGGATTTAGTGAACTTTTTACTTTTGCTCTAACGATAGTGTTATCATTTTCACTCAAAAACCAAAAAAAGCTACCTCAGGCCAAGTTTTGCGTGAAAATCGAAATGCTGCCAAATAAGTACATCAACCAATTGCTTACAATCCTTTCTGAAATCATGCCCTATAGATTGCTTTCAAGTATATTCCACAAGAAAGAAGTGAGAATAGTTTATTCAGATAGGCTTCGATTGTTTTTAAAATGAGTCACATAGTATGTATGGATAAAGCACATACAGGTTTTTCACTCGCCAAGTCTGCACTCAGATATCCAAGCCTTACTGGTCCTTGTAAGAACAACGAAACATATAAGCTTTCTGCTTAGAAGACATCCAGAAGATTGGTTTGCAGTGTATAAACCCCACTGGTTCTGTGGTACCGTCCGCTAGCTGAACGTACATCTCTTCCTAATGTAATATTTTACTTGGTATACTGATAAGCTGGCCAACGTGCAACCTTGGTACCGGAAGCGTATGTTAGCTAGATTTATCTCGAGCAGCGACCAAACGCAGCGAATTCCGAGGTTTGCATTTTGTGCCATAATTTATAAAATAATAGTTTTTGCTAGTGGTACTCAACACCAAAATATTCCTCAATGTGCCCGCTACTAGTCACGATAAAAGCTTATGACCCTGAGGGATTGTACGAGACTTGCCCTGCGCCGCTCACGGATCTGTGCACACTATACCGGTGTGCGTTTTATGCACTAGAATCAGTAGGCATGATAAGAATGTGAGTTATGACCGCTGTTGTGCTCGCGTATATTGCATTAACACCGCCCCATTGAGCTACACCGAATTGGTTGCGGCATGCAACACGGGGAATAAGTACCTTTTGTCAGTATTCGCGTTACGCGGTCCCTTTGCATGGTCTCCGCTTTGCGGTGTGTGAATAGTTAGAGCAGATATGTCATGTGTGCGCAAAGCAGAACCGCTGTCCATTCACTTATAGAACTCGTGTCTGAGCTCGGCAAGGTCACGCATCATGTATCTCACTCATCTGGGCGGTTCTAAGTTCTACCTCGAAGCAGATACTCAGGCAACTTGTCAGAAGTTGCACTGTTCAATGGAACAATGATATATGGTGAGTAAAAGGCACAGGCCTAACATATCCCATACGTTTTTAGTAGTAGAAGTTGAAATAAGTGGACCAAATAAACTATGCGTCAGTGAAACGAAAGAGTATTAACGTATAGAAGGCGGGTTATGGTAGTGAGATAGTGCCAGGCAAATAGAGATAACAACCTTTTATGTTTAATACTTATTGCAAATAACAAGCAGATTGCTTACCTCTCTGCACAGATTTACGTTAGATCCTGTGGGCCATAAATACAAAGCGGTCAGTTATCATGAATATGTAATAATGAATATGTGCAGAATATCCCTTCATGTAAAAGCGTGTAGAGCGTTCAATTCAATATACAATCGTATTTTGAAAATGGCTAGAGTGGAGTCACCGACAAGGGGTTGGGAATTACGTCCCAGGGTTGGTAGACCCGGAGGGAGACATATGCTCGTCGACAACCTAGACGACTGTATTGTTAGCGCAGTTCCAGGTTATTGCCTCTGAGGTTGATGTTTAGGCTGTTTCAAAAGGTGGCGGTAAACGTGACGGGAATCCCTCAGTTTTTGTAAACTTATAGGTTGTCTCCACGTAACCACCGATAGCGTTCACTGAACACTCCGAGTGACTTTAGTCGTTAGTGGTACTGACGGTGGCGTAATCCCTTGACAAATTTCTTTGTTGGGCTTTGGGAAATTTCGAGCGCTACGAGGTCACGCTTTAGCGAAGGATTCCAATGCTGGGTTGCGTATTCGACCTGAGGACGCACGTGGGCATTGAGCATCAGAGAGAAGATGGAGGAATCCAAGCTCCGGAATGTCCTCCACAAGAGATCAACATGGTAGTTACCACTTTTAGAGCGGACTCTGACTGTCTGGAACAACTGAGGTCATCCTGTAGTAGCTTCCCAAATTTGTAGATGTAGGCTTGTCGATGACAGATGTGGACAGCGCGGTACTTGTCCACGTTGAGTGGCAGTGCGTTGCTCATCGACCAATGCTATACTGCCTGGAGGTCTTGCCGGAGGATCTCGTGGTGGTCCATTCCATTGATCGCCTGTCAAAAATTAACGGTCCGCGAAGAATAAAACGATTGAGATGATAACTCTCGCTATACTGTTAATAAAACTAAGAACAGGCGAGGTCTAAGTACCGAACCCTGCGGGACACCGCACTCCACTCGAAGCGGGTCGGACAGGGATTTACATTCTAACCTCTAATCGCCGTTCGCGGAGAAAGTTAGCAATCCATACTAGCATTGGATTACCGATGAGGGGTTGCTGAATTTTGTGACTAAGGATTCGATGATCCAAGCGATCAAAAGCTTTCGAAAATCCGGATAGATAACATCAGTTCCTGTTCTCTTGTTGACTATTTCCGTCCAATTGTCACGTGCTATTAGCAGATTCGTGGTACATGATCAAGGTTGGGGAAATCTGTGCTGCTCCGGCGCAATGATACCGGAGCTTTCCAGGTAGCTTATCAGTACGTTCGCGATGAGCGCTTCCATAACTTCGGCAAGCATAGGGAGAAGGGTTGCTGGGCGATGATTGGCAGGAGCAAAACAACCTCTTCCATTGTGAATGGGGTTATAATATCCCGTTTCCATGTTGACGGAATTAGGTCATAGTTCAGCTGAACCTATGGCGTATGTCGGTGTGAAAGCACATTGGTTCACTCAAGTATAACTCAACCATATCAACGAGGTACAGTCTATGCCCCACAAGCCATTCTACAAGATCAAAGTGGTAACTGAATTTTTCCTGTGCACTGATGGTTATTTATGCTACTAAACCTATATACTTCAGGCTTATGGCCTTGGTTATCGGGTTGGAGGCCTGCTAGCCAATGCCCAGTGAGGCAAACATGGCTGCATGATTGCGCCATCATGTCGATGGAAAGGAAAGTTTGTTGTCCGGTTATCTTATTCGCCTGCACAGTATTGGCATATCAGTGCACTACTTAGCGAGGCTGACAAAGATCACGTTGCCAGTGCAATAAGTAAGTTCCGGTTGCTCCAAATTCGATAGGCCGATATGTGTTTAGACGTCTTTCCGATTCTAAACAAAGACACACCACTTATATGCGAGTAAAGTCTTAAAGTTGAAGCAGAACAGGAATAGATCGCAGCAAACGTTCTGTGCGAAGGTTGAGCTAATGTTCCTTTGTGATGAAGAGATTCCGTAAAATCTGGGTGACGAATGTCTGTACCAGAATCCGCAACTCCCATTAAGGCGTTACTTTCGTTGATCGGCCTTGGCTGATGACATTTGATGAGAAAGTTCTCTGACACCTTGTGTCTTTGCGCTTTAGTGGACGCGTAATATTAAATTTGGGCGTATTCGGCCACACTCCAGTACTCGTGCATCTAACGTCATACTTCAGAGGCAGACGCCATCAAGTGACTGCAAGCGAAACTAAGATGACAGACGTTATTCATGGAGACTTGTGAGAAGATAAAAAGTGTGCAAGAGTGACATTAGAAATCGCGTGATAAACTTCGGTTTTAGCAAAGCCGAAGACAATTTCAAACTGCGGCGTAACAATTTTGCTCAGAAAAGACTGGTAGACACCTGTTGGCGGAGGTCCATAATGTGTACTCATGATGCAGTATTGCACTTCATTTGCATTTAATTGCTCTCGAGTGACCAACATTACTTTAAAAAGCTGACCTAAATGGACACAGCAAATTATCAAGTTGTGGCTGGATAAAAGTGAAGCTGACCTTGATTATAGTAGACTGTTAATTATTGTCCTTTTCCAACGTTATTTTTTTAGACGCAACTAGTCTCTATATTGACTACAATTAATTAATGAGCGGACATTGTTTCAATGAGGCTAAATCTTAAGTTGATGCAAGAACTCACGTTCCAATCTGATCTACTGATAAGTGCTGGGTGATGCACTTGAATGCCTTAAGAGTTATTTCTGAGACATAGGTCAAATAGCCGCAGTTGCATAATTCTCCTGATTGGAAGTTGGAACTAAAATGGAACAGGCTAAATGTAATTGTCCAAGCTTGCCGATGGCTGCTGTTGTGAATTGCTCGCTGAGTGTACGGATAACCTGCCTGAATCATTTGTGCCGCTCCCAACCAGTTCAACCCGCAACAAAGTGAGAACGCCAAGATCAGCCGGACCGAAAGTCCAAATTCGGATTCTGATTCATATTGCGTGAGAGCATGGCGCAATAAATAGGTTGCAGGCAACTACTAACATGACAATATTGGAGATGTTAATTAATATTAATTGACACCACTCAAACGTACCAAGTTCGTGGTCTAACTTGCTGTTGGTTCCACATAGATTCGCGTGTTGATCTTTATTCGAGTTCGATCTCCAATTGTAGACCGAGCCACTCTTGCACCACGCTTCTCTGCTTGTGCTCTGGCTTTCTGTAACACCTCGCAAAATGGCTCGCAACTACCGTCATTGGTCTAGGTGCATTCTGACGACGTGTCTCCACACCCGACCAGTGCATCCTCGTGGCTGCAAGTTCCTTCCTGTTTTGTGGTCATTGGTCGAAACACCTTAGGTACTTCCTGGGTCCCAAAGTGAGTGCTTCACTGGGTGGATAACTGTTCTCGCTAAGCGATAAAGCTCCTGGTCAACCAATGTTATTGCAAGGCATTTCCGAAAAACTGCTGTATACCTCTAGCGCAGGTGCTCAATGGTCACTGTTTTGGGGGCTGTTGGTTTGTGTATCTGGACAGTTGCACAGAGTTGCAGACCCTTGCATTTCGGTTCGCAGGCAATTTTTCGGTCTAGCGACAAAGGACCTCTTGGTGCTCTCTGATAGCTGTATATTGCGGCAATAATC